TTGGTTTTATTAACGAATTACATACAACAAATTTCTATATAGAAAATTGTTGATAACAATTATATAAGATACATTAATATTCTCAAGAAAGATCCAGCAACACCAACACAGAAGATCCAGTGGATTGTGAAGATTAAACAATCTTCACATTCAATAAATGAAGAACGAAAGCGAAGAAGAGACGGTTAATTTCTAAGAAAACCAAAAATCAGATCTATTCATTAAAAATAAAACCGGCAGATTTTATGTAGTGATGGAAATTTTTCACGTTATTACTGGAGGTAGTGATGTGACCCGGTCGTATTGTATCCGAACAGAACAACGCCATGGCGTAGGATCGCGTAAAGAAATCGTTTGATTTGCAAAAATCGCATTTATTTCAAAATTTAGTCTAGTCCTTGGAATCTTAATAAAAAATTTCCTTGCGCAATTTTTTCCATATTACTATTTTTCCTAATCTTAACCTAAACTCTAACCCAAATATAAAAGAAGTTTTTAGCTCAACGTTTGTTTTCCGAGTACCACGTGACAGTAAAATCGACCCGACTCCCTGTCTGAACCAACCAATAATAGGATTGGTTTTGCGGTTTAATACTCCAGGATACTCCAAATTTAAAGGCATAATTTTAAAGCCACTCCAATTTGGGTTGGAGTAAGCTACTCCATTAACAACCCCACAATACTAAACATGATTACAAAGCCTTTGCCCATTTTATTTTATATGATTAAATAGAATACACGCAACCACTAATCAAATTAAAAAATTTTAATTACAACATTAAAGTTTACAAATATTAATATAAACAAATTTTTGATTGTAATAATGTTATATTTTAGTAATCTTCGATATCATCTTCACTATTCTTGTCATCACTATCATAATCCTCTTCACAAATAGTTTGTTTATTTGAATCGTTAATGATTCCATTACCGGTAACATTACTTTTAAAACTATCAAGAGTAATATTATGAGAGATATTTTTATTTATTGCACCCAATGCTTCAAGTCTTTCATGTGATCTACGTCTTTCTTGTTCAGCATGTAACAATTTGTTATATTCTAT